AGAAATGGTATTTCTTTTTGCTAGCTCTTACAGTTATCTGAGCCTTACCGATCTATTGAGTCATGATCACCATTGCGTGCTTTCTTCTTTTCGTATTGCAGAAACAAATCATAAACCTGATCACGGTTATGGCGGAATGCTGGATATTTTTTAGTGCTAATAGCTTGATACTCTTCTCTTGATAAATGATCCACTGGATCCGTGCCCTGAATAAGACTAAATATAAACACAGCGTTCGAAGAACCGATTTTTTAATATACGGTTACAGACCTTGATGACGGCAAACTCGGAATAAACTAGTCCGCACTCCAAGTTTCGTTTACTATCATGATCGAAATGGTCCCAATATCTTTTCCGAAAGAGATTATAGTTTACGAAATGCTCCTTTTTGATGAAAGGCAACCTTCGTCGAGATCCTTCCACATCGTCTTCATCACCTGTATCCAACTCTGGTCTAACGGTCAGCTTCTGCAAATCTATTCCGTATGTTCCTTGAAGCATCCGCATAAATTTCTCAAAAGTTATGAATAGAGGGAAATGAGCTTCTGTCAATTGACGAAATGAGTCTGGAATGTTATTAAACTCATCCCCTTCTTCAAGCATTACATCATTGGCCACGTTAGCATTAACGACAGTTCCTCTCCTCCTTATATATTCATTAAACTGAGCTTTGGATATTCTTTCTCCGGCATGGTCTACCGATTCTTTCAATCGATTAAAATAGTCTTTTACTCGGACACATAAGTAGTAATTTGCTGTAATAAATATCTGCCTTTTCTGCAAATACTCATCATCACGATGAGCGATATCAAGTTCGCGTGCCAAGCACGATGCGATTAATCGAAATACAATACAAGTCGTTTTTCCGGTGCCTAGATATCAGAAAACATCAGTTTCCCCCAAGTTGTTCGATTTGGTTATAGGTAACGAAAAATTTCTAACCTGATCGACCAATAATGATTGCCGATTTAGGGTGATTGACGATTTCGTGTTCAATCTTGGATACTTGAAAGGTAAAACCAGAATGGCCTCTGGCGAGCGCTTTCATCAAACTCTGCAAAGCAGACTAATGCATGAACATGCGTTCTCGTTTAATATTATACAATATAATTGTATGCATACTCTACCGTTGATAAAGGAACGAATTTATTCGTAACAAGGGCCTTATGTACTTCTAACATTCTTTCGTCATCTTCCTGGAGGACATCCAATCTACTCTCGGTAGATTTCATCGCTTCCTCTCCTTCAAACACTTTCGGTAAAGTAACACCATCTTGGCTTACTTCGACTGCGCATCGATTTATATGTTCAACAGTATAGACTTGGTGAGCCATCTCGAGATTTTCCAAGACGTCCTCAATTTCTTCTTGATTATTTGTGATGGCCCAAACCTTTATGTTTTGCATCAGTAAAGACTGGCGAGTAGAAAACCCGCTATCAATTTGCCAAATAATTTTTGGGTCATCCTTTTCGGATAGCTTCACCTCATATGTAAGTGTAGTATCCGAGCGGATTATGTTCACAAGTTGATGTTGAATCCACGCTCCGGTTGACAATTGTCCGAGCTTTTTTAAAACTTTGTTAGTCGTGGATACGCCTAACTGCTTCAAGTTTTTGACGGCGTTTTCACTAAGAAGAATGTCCCAAGGTCCAAACCTATCATCATTGTCGAATTCAAACGGGAGGTGAAAGCGTTTTTCGTCCATCGGATATATAATAAATTGATGTAATTATTTCCACTAATACTAACGCTTTAAGTTCTACCGGCAGAGTGTTTTGCACGGATTCAATGATCCAACAACTTCCATTTCGTCTATTAACACGCACGAAACAAATAAGGTTATTGATTATGTGTAGCAGTCATTATCTCATTGATATAGTAAGATTGCATCTCCAAATAGAAATGCAGGTGATTTCTGCAGCCACAAATGAAATGCAATGTTACTCTCGCCATCAAAAACGGTTTGATTAAATTATTATTATGCTAATGCCCCATTGTGGTGGACTCTCTCTTTAAAGGTACTGTCTTATTAAAATTGTGTTACTTTCAGTACTGTAAATAAAGACTAAATTAGGATAATTTTGATTTCTTTTTTGATGCTTAACAACAAACTGATAAAGAATGTATCAAATGGTATTTAATGTCGGGTAATAAAAAAAACTGAACAAATGTCTATTAATTAAGAAAGACGCTCAAACGAGACAAATCATGATAAATCAAATATTTAAATAATGATTCGATATCTCATGAAACCAATCAGATTCTTCCTTCGTTGATTTACACTTCCTTCATCCGGTATTCATTGTATAATGCTGTACTACTTTCGAAAAAGCCTGCCATAGTAAATTTGGAAGAACGAAATCTAAATTCATCGATGCTTTTCCTAAATAAAACAATTCATTGTTGCGCAATACCCAAAGACTTTATGTCAAATATTTGATCAACAGGTGTGGCTAACCAATCTGAATCTTCATTACGTTTAGACGCACCAGTAGCTCTTCGACTAAACCATCGCCTGATTTATCTCGAAGAAATTGTGATTTATTTTAAGGAAATACTATAGATTATGCATAAGACGTGAAAGAAAAAAACTGTGAAAAGCTTTTATTGTGACGGAGGGATTTAAAATAAAGTTTATTAGTAAATAAATAGAAGTAAAATCAATAATAATTTAAATACACTCGTACCCCGTTTATATCCCTACCCAGTTATATCCCACCCCCGGTTATATCCCCAAATTTTGTAAAAACAAATGGCCTTCTAAGAACGAATGTTCCTTTTTGTGCCAGTTAAATCCCATCTCAGATATATCCCTATCCCCAAAATTCTTATAACCGAATATAATAATCCGAACCCGTTTATATCCCCCAAGTTACACCAATTGCTAAAAAAGACTGCATGCAATTATTTACGTGTTATTTGTAATGCGATGGACGTTAGGCAGTGTAATAGTTATTTTCGTGTTGTTTTCGCGTTATTTACGTGTTATTTGTTTGACATTTACATAGAATGTTGTGAATAAAAGTCCCTCGCGATAGCTATTTACATGAATTTTGATTCTTTGATATTAGAATGTCTTCCAAGTAATGATGATGATGATGAAGATAAAGAAGAGGAGGAAAGATCCATTATCACTTATGAAGAAGGTAAAAAAGCGTTTGGTATATTCAAACAGTATATTAAACAGTTAGATCATGCAACTGCAAATGTGACTACGAGATCATCCTTACCCCGCTTATATCCCCACCCCGCTTATATTCCCACTTTTGAGCTAAACGAAAGGGGGGATATAAACGGGGTATGAGTGTATATCTATCTTAAAGAAATTTAACATAGTCATCTGTAAACACCCAGAAGATAATTTTTAGTATCAAATTGCATGCGCAATATCTTATTTTTCTGGTAATTTCTACATAAATTGTTACAAGGAAGAAAATTGCACGCCCTACACCATCATCCTCTAGTTCTCTTATAATAAATTGAGCATGCAGATAAGTTATCAAAAACTGCATAAATTTTAGCCAATAACTGGCTTGTTATAAAGATGAAAACGATTTAGAACTAAGGAAAGAAATACTATCTCATCAATGACATAAAAAAAATCATACTATCATAAATGATCTCATATATGTGTCTAAAATGAAATCATATAATAAATTGTCTGCATAGGAGCGTTTCCTTTTCTTATATTTCCAGTCGTGACATGCTTTGGAAATGATACAGATCCACATATTTATAGCTGATTAGCCTAGACTGAGAAGCGATCAGCGAAGACAGTCCGTATGCTGATCTTAACATAACCTTCCTTTTGCTTACTATTTCCGTTACAAGCATACAGTATTGATTTCTTAACTAGAAACAAAATTTTTGGGGGCTACGCCCTTGCGTGGTTTATTAGGAAATTTGCGGCGGTGTACATAGGTCATTTAAAATAGAGGTAAAAGTAAATGAATAAAGAAAGAAATTCAACGGATAGAAGGCTATTTATTCGGACTCATCATGTATATTCGAAAAG